TCGCATTATTTGTTGACATGGGATTTTACTGCAACGCAACAAGTCACACCACTACCACTTCACAGGTATGACCGTCACCATCATCGTCACCAGCGCCATTCAGAACATCGTAATCTTGAGCATCGTCATCATCATCATCTCCATGGTAATCACCATCGCAAGCACAGTAGCCATCACCATGACCATGGCCATCACCATCACTATCGCCACCACCAACACCGTCACAATCATCATCACCACCATTATCACCATGACCATCACCATGACAGTGACTGTCACCATCAGCATCATCATCACCACCATCATCAACATCGTCATGGCCAGGATCATCCGTCGACCCCTCGTGGGTCTCTAGGCCTGTGAGATAATGTGACCAAACGGAAGCGACACGATTAAAACAAGTTTTCCGGGGGGGGCGCGTAGGACACGATTAGGCGCCGCGACGCCGGACGCTTTGAGCCCACGGGGGCGGCGAAGCGGGCGGCGGCGCCGGCGGGGGGGGGAGGGGTGGAGGGGAAGAGAGCGGGGGAGGGGGAGGCCGGACGCGGTTCCCCTCGCGGCCCCTCCTCCCCTCCCCTCCCCGCCTTCCCTCTCCCCCCCCCCTCTCCTCCCCGCCTTCCCTCTCCCCCTGACAAGCGGCGTCAGGCAGCCCGCCGGCCCCGCGACCGCGCGCGCCTCCTCGGTCCAAGAAACGCACCCCTCACGCGGACCACTGGGTCTGAGCGAACAGGGGGTTGGGGCGGGCAGTCACGACCCTCGCCCCCGTCCCGCCATCAGGACTGGAGGGGGGGGGGGGTCGTGACCTTCGCCCCCGCCCGTGGGGGCCCCCATTCGCCCGCGAACAGGGGGTTGGCACGAACGTTCACGACCCCTCCCCCGGAGGCGGGGTCGTGATCACCCGCACGTGGGAGCCCCCATTCGCGGGCCCTTCCCGTTCCCTTTCCGCCCCCTCTCCTCCCTTCCCTCCCTCCTCCCCTCCCCCTCCCTAACCCCCCTTCCCCGCCCCCCCCCCTCCCCTCCCCTCGCAGAGAGGGCGCCGCCTTTGTCAAGCGAGCGCAGCCAGCCAGGGGAACTGCGCTCAAGCGAGCGCTCAGCGGCGAGCGGCCAGGGGTAAAAAGTCAGCGCCGTCCTCGTCGTCCTCCTCCTCCCCCTCGCCCTGCCCCTCCCCCTCCCCTTCCGTCCTCCTCCTCGCGGAAGCGGAAACAGAAAAGCAAAAAAACGGGTAGAGGAGCGGGGCGGGGGTAGCGGAAGGACACGTTTTATATAATAATAACAATAAACATAATAATAATATACTACTACTAATAATAATAATTATACTATTAATATTAATATTAACAATAATACTAATAATAATAACAATAATAATAACAATACTAATAATACGAATAAGAATACTAATGCTACTACTACTACTACTACTAATAATAATACTAATAATATTAATAATAATGATAATAATAATACTACTAATAGTAATAATACTAATAATACTAATTATAATCATAATAATAATGATGAATACATAAATAAATAAATAATAATAATAACATGTATATAAAGAGAGAGAGAGAGAGAGAGAGAGAGAGAGAGAGAGAGAGAGAGAGAGAAACAAAAAAAAAAAAAAAAACTTCCGGGCGAAAGTCCTAATCGGGGCGTTCCTTGTTTCTGGGGGAGGGGGATGGCGGGGAGGGGGGGGTCGCATTTTTTTGATCATGTGGTCACATTAGTCCCCCCCCCATAACCCCCACAGGGGCCCTAGACCGGAGATTCGACCCCCCCCCGGCCCCGGGGCACCCAGGACGGAACGCGTCATGGGGGAGCAGAAGGTCCCTAAACGAGCCAAAAACGCAGAAACGGGCCCACGCGACGGCCCAAGAAGGCCCCAAGAGGCCTCCAAGACGGCCCACCCGAGACGCCAAACGAGCGCCCCAAGACGCCCAAGATGCCCCAAAGACGGGCTAAGAGGCTTCCTAGACGGCCCAAGAGGCCCCCACGAGGCCCCAAGAGGCCTCCAACATGCGCCCCAAAAGGGTCCCCAGACGCAAAAATTGGCCCATCCCCTTCGTAAAACGTACATGTTTCACACGTTCGCCCTCTGGGCTTTCCGATGCTCCCAGACGGCCCGAGAGGCCCCCAAGACCGCCCCAAGAGGGCCCAAGAAGCCTCCAAGAGGGCCCCAAGATAGCGCAAGAGGGCCCCAAGACGGCCCAACAGGCGCCCAAGACGGCCCAAGAGGGCACCGAAGACGGCCCCAAAAGCGCTCCAGGAACGCTCCAAGTGGCCTCCAAGAGAGCTCAACATGGTCCCAGACGGTCCAAGAGCGATCAAAGACACCGAAGATGGCCTCCAGACGGCCCAAGATGCCCCCAAGAGGCCCCAAGAGGCATCCAATATGCGCCCCAAGAGGGCCCGCTCCCTCCGTAAAATGCACATTGTTGCGCAAATTCGCCTTTTGGGCTTTCCGACGCCCCCACACGGCCCACGAGGACCCCAAGACCGCACCAAGACGGTCCAAGAAGCATCCAAGAGGGCCCCAAGACAGCCCAAGAGGGCGCCAAGACGGCTCAAGAGGCGCCGCTGACGGCCCAAGAGAGCCCCGAAGACGGCCCCAAGAGCGCTCCAGGAGCGCTCGAAGTGGCTTCCAAGAGAGCTCAACATGGCCCCACGCGGTCCAAGAGCGATCGAAGACACCCGAGATGGTCTCCAGCTGGCCCAAAAACGCCCCCTGGGGGCCTCCAAGATGCGTCCCCAGAGGGCCCCTAGACGCAACAAAGTGCTCATTTCCTTAGTAAAACGTATTTTTTTGTTTCACAAGTTCGCCTCGTAGGCTTTCCGACGTTCCAAGACGGCAACCAAAAAATTCAAAAATCTAGCTTTCCGCCCCCACGAGTCCCAGGGGGCCCCGAGAGTGCCCCAAGAGGCCGCCAGAGGCCCCGAAGAGGCCGCCAAGACGCCCCAAGGAGCCCCCAAGAGGCCCCCAGGGGGCCCCCAAAAGACCCCCTATACTCTTCCGCATTGCGAGCCGTCAAGCCAACTGCAATGCACTCCCCGCATACAGCCTTGCTCCTCCTCGCGGCGTGCTCGCTATCTTGCTCGGCGCTAATGCGCTGCTGCCGCGCGAACTGTTTGGTGCGCGCTGCGAACGTCAACAGCCTCTTCACCCGATTCGACTCATCTGCCACATCTTTCGCGGTGATGCCTCGCTGATCACAACTTCCGCACGCTACTCTTGCTCCTTTCGTCTTCCGGTGGTCCTCCACTTGGTTGCGGGTCGAAAGGCCGACCTCCCAAAAGAACACCCCGCACCCGGGTGCACAGCACGCAAGGCGTTCGCAAAACACGCCCCAGACCACCGGCATCACGCAAACATTTGGACCCCCCACGTATCTGCCACCACCCGCGCGCGACACCGCACCCTCACACAAGACGCCGCTGGCCAGAAACTCCTGGCCTCGCAACACTCACAGAAGGGGTCGGCGGATGTGGCGTAAGCCTGTAGAATCACCAACAACATCACCATCAACAGTATCAACATCACCCTCATCAGCATCATCTTCCTCATCATCCTCTGCATCAGTGCCATCATCATCATCATCATCATCATCATCATCATCATCATCATCATCATCATCATCATCATCATCATCATTTTCATCATCATCATCATCATCATCAGCATCATCATCATCAGCATCAGCATCAGCATCATCATCATCGTCATCATCATATTCATCTTCATCAGCATCATCCTCAGCATCCTCGTCGTCGTCAGCATCATCATCAGCATCACCATACTCATCACTACCATCATCATCGTGGTCAGCACCATCATAATCATCGTCGTCACGCGAACGCTCTCTGGCATGATTAACCTGGATTGCTCTTGGAGCCTTCTGGGAGCCCTCTGCGGCCGCCCTGCAGGACCCCAAGTGGATCTCGGAAGGGCTTCAAGAGGATCCGAAGAGGGCTTCAGGAAGGCCCTCGAGACCAGTGATAGATCAGTCACGTGAGCGTTCTCTCGCGTGCCTTAACTCGCACAGCTGTGAAGCCCTCTGGGAGACCTCGCGTTGAAGGCCCAACGAGGGGCTGGAAAGGGCCCAGGGAGGGCCTCCAAGAGCAGGGAAAGGTAAGTCACACGCGCGCTTTCTCGCGAGACGTCGTGGTCACAACCATTGGACCCCTTCTGGGGGCTCTCCCAAGCCGTGGAGGGGCCCAAGCAGGTCTCGAAGAGGCCCCATGCTCCCCCCCTGGAGGCTTCGTGGGCCGTCTTGGGGCCCCCGGGGGTCGGAGGCGAAAAGGGTAGAGACCCGACATCACGAGCTGTCCTTGCGCACTCGTGGGATGCTTGGCTCCCGAAGACCTCCGGCGTGGGGCGCCCTGCGCTTTGTGGGACGTGCCGAGGTCGCGCCGCGTTGCTGCCCGTGCCGCGCCCTCGGCGCCTCGTGGGCGCCCCGTGCGCTCGCTTCCTTTCCCGAGGTTGCGCCGTGTTGCCGCCCGTGCTGCCTCGTGAACGCCCCACAATAGCCTACACCACAAAGCTTGGGACGCATCGGTTACACAGCATAGCTTGCACCACATAGCTTGCACCGCATAGCTTGTACCTCCAATGCGCGCACCACACTGTTCACAACACATAACACATAGTTTTCACCACATCGCTTGTACCGTAATAGCTTCCACCTCCTCATTGCCATAACGCGTTGCTTAAGTCCCGTCTGGCTAAAACTTAGGCTGTTGTGGCCGCTCGAGGCGGTTTTGGAGGCTTCCTGTTGGCTCCCAGGGACTCTTCGGTGTTTCTTGGGAGTGTCTTCGGGAGCCCCGTAGGAGCCTCAGTGGAGCCTCTTGGGCCGTCGCGGGGGTTGCCTGGGGCGTCTGGGAGCGTTTCCGACGAGGCGCAGCTGCTTAGACGCATCCAGCAGCATGAAAACCGACGAGAATTGACAAGCACTTCCCAAAAACACGAATTTCGAAAACCTCCCAACCTGCCGTGGCGTGTCCTGGCTGGCCCGAATGGCGCCGCAAGGCCAGCGCCGCTGGCTCGGCCCGGCTGCCGGCGGCCCCGGGGGGGGCCTCGCCAGGGATGGGCGCCTCGGCCACGGCGCTCCGCAGGCACCCGTCCTCTGGGGGAGCAGTCTCGACTTTGCAGCATACCGCAAGACGTGGACGACACTCACATCATCGAGCTGCGCAACAAAAAAAAACGCGAGCAGAGTGTTTGTTGGAAGTGTTCGGCCTTCGGGGGTTGTTGCTGGGCACAAGGGCCGTCGTCAAACACGATTCGGAATGAAGAATCGGTCCTGGGGGAAAGGTCCAGGCCTCCAGGATTCCATATTGCGAATTTGAGGTCGCGATGCGGCCCAACATCCCTGACGATACGACAATCTCAACCCAGGCGAGTTTCATCGATCTCGCTTCTGTACTGGCACCTGGTCGAAGTATGTTCTTCCCTTACCTGCCCACTGGAGCTACAGTTGGCACCACCAGCACTGGTCCCGCCGCAGTCTGCCGCCTGGGGCGCCATTGCCTGCTCATTGTCGGCTCCGCCCCTCCCCTTGTTGCACTTCCTCTTCGCGCCCTGCAGCCTCTGCCGCGGCCCCTGGGTGTGGTCGCGACGCCGCCCCAACAGGAAGGACGGTCGGGCGCGAGACACGCGCTCGCCCGGATCGATATCGGCAAGGCCAGGGGGCGGGCAACGCCGCCTGACGTCAAAGGACAGCCGCGTTCTGGGTGAACCATTAGGCACAAAGCAGAGCAGGGCGCGAGGCGTACCGCAAGCCTTCAAACCAGCGCGATCTGGAGGCGGCCCCACTTGCTCGTCGACGAAAAAACACTTCGTAAACTGGGCCGAAGGCAGCAAACAACAAAACGCGCGCAGAGAAACCGCAACGGCGACTGTCCACGAGCCCGAACCGCCGCACAAAGGCACTGAGTGTGGGTCCAGGGATTAGAACCAAAACGGGGCCGCAAGGCTGAACCAGCGTGGAAGCACGAGGCTAGGCGCAGAAGAAAGGAGAGGTGCAGGGAAGCTTCCACCTCCTCCTCATGCCAAGATGTCGGTTTTCGTGTTCCCCGGGTCCCTAGAGCGGTGCCCGGGGGGTTGGAATGAGAGCCGCCGGCAGCGTCGTCCCCGCAAGTGGGGCCGCCAATACCTTCAGAGCGAACCGTCCAACCAGAGCCGCGCCATTCGGATGCCCACGGGTAGTTTGCCCCATGGTGTTCCTCGTCGTCCTCGTCGTCGTTCCTCGCCTCCCATGAAAGCACGGGAGGAGGCGTTGAGAAAAAAGGGATAATCTTTGGCGCCGTAGACCAAGGAGGACTCGTACTCGTCCGCGTAGGTGCGGGCGGGGCCCAACGAGCCGCAGCAAGGCGCAGGGCCCAGAAATGACCTGCCTTCGGGGCGTTGGGAGCCGCGAGGAAGCGCAGGGCTCGGTGGCCGGCTCCGAGCGGGGCCAAAGGAACCCCTCGCAACGCAAGGCCCGAGTGGCCTCTGCGAGCGGGGCGGGGAGGTCACCGCGCGAGGCAGCAGGCCAGCAGAAGGCACCTGCCCGCAGCGACTGCTCGAGAGCAGGCAGCAGACGGAGCAGGCAAGGCTCCAGGCCGCGCCTGGCAGAGAACCGGCGACCCCCCCCCACCAGAACGACGGACCCCCCTGGCGATCGGTCGTGCCCACCCTGGCTGTCGGCGAAGGTGGGCGAGCGAGATCGCCCGACGGCAGCGCCTCCGGTGCGCGGGCCGCGGACGGGGGCCGGCTAGGGGCGGTGCGCTGGCCACCTGGGGCCGAGAAGCTGCAGAGACCGCGAGCGCTCGGGAGGCGAGGATAACATAAGAGATCATCGCCAGATATCTGGAGGTGGCTCAAGATGCAGGAGCATGTTTGCCATAAGGATCACGGCTCCCCAAGCTGCGTAGGACGAGAATAATGTCATGATGCGATTGGCTCAGAATGCGTTTCAGGAGATCTGGAGTGTCTCGCAGGATCAGTCAGCATAGAATCGGGAAATCGGTTCTCATCAGAAGGTCCATCGGATCGAGCTGCATCCACACGGAATCGAGACCGAATCCAATCGACCACACCAAGATACACAACTGCTCCGTGCGAACATCGGTTCGCATCGGATCGAGACGGGCGAAATCGGTATCGACTAGGATCGACCGGATCGACATGTACCCTTATACCTTATCGGACGAGAATGATGGCATGATGGGGTTGGCTCTGGACACTTTCCAGAAATTCTGGATTATCCGACGGCCCTCGTCTCTGTAGCACGTGTAGAGCAGCAGGAGGACCTGGACATGTTTGATCAGAACATGTTCATGATCTGTTGCTCTTCTGATACCGCCTCCTTCTCTCTGTCCTGCTGATGCTGCATGCTGTTGCTGCCGCTAGGGAGGAGACCCCCTAGGATAGATCCCCAGACCCCCGACGTCGTGATTTGCTGTTCCAATGTGGACCCCAAGAAATTTCGACAACCCTTTCCTTGGACCGGATTGTCATTGTAAATGCTCCTTGCGACTGGAAACGACGTAAAACGTTCCGTCGTCATCAGTTCATGGCGCGACCTGGGTCTGGTCTCGTGGCTGAAAATATGCCCTCGGACCTGGCCGAAGACGTACGCTGCCGTGCCCCAAACGGCCTTCAATGAGGTCAAGGGGGGGGAGAGGCAGGGCGCTGGAGCGAGTGAGGCTAGCCGTGCTCGTCCCCGTCACTGCCACCAGGCAGAGCGATGAGGTCCCCGAGGTTCGCATCCGGTGCCAACCTCCCAAAGGGCGGAATGCCTGTTGCAGTCCACCGCCCCGTCCACGGATCATGTGCTTCCACTGGCCGTTTCAAGCGGGAGGCTGCGGCGCCCTGGCGGAGCACGCCACCGAGCGTAATAGCCGCAGGCCGAGCAGAGCCAAACAGAAACCCTCGGACACAAATCTGTGCTGGCGGCCTTCCGCCACGTAGCGTGGAGGAAGTCTGGATGGGGACAAGGGCGCTGGGCAGGCGCAAGCGCCCCTGCACTCGGAACAGAATCGTGCCTGGCGTCAGGCATCGAATGATCAGCCGAGAATGCCGGGCCGCGGCGACCGCCGAGCACTCCGTGAAAGGGAAGAGGACGAGGGGGGGGGTGAAGGGGGGGATGAGCGAGAGGAGATGGAGCGACCCCCAAACGCTCCCTTTGACTGCATTGGGGACCCCTGTCTGGAATGGCAGCCCAAACACCAAACGATGTGTTTTCCTCGTCTTCCATCCGCGGCCCCACATGGGGCCAACACTGAGCCCCAAACTCGTGCCCCTGGAGACGGAAATGAAGAAACCTCGTCAAGGATCCAAACAAAAAACAATCCTTCGGATATCCCGGGCAGCCGCTGCAGCCGCAGCAAGCGGGCGGCCCAGGGTGAGCCGCGGCCAGGCCGAGGGCTCGCGGGTCCCTGAGGACGGCCACCTCGCCCTCCAGGACCAGCACAAGCTGCGGGTCGGCCTGGAGCCGCGGGGCGCACCGCCCTTTTCCCGAGGGTATGCGCTGTCAGCGCCGATATCGATTAACGCGGGGCGGATCGGAGCGTCGGTCTGATCGGGCCTCCTCGGCACGGAGGTCGTGATCGAATCAAGTCGGCCGCGCCAAGACCACGATGCACGGCAACGCGCATCGGATCGCCAGAATGTCGGAATCAAATCGGATCCAGCCGGCCAGAATCGATATCGGATCGGATATAGATGTGCTCGAAGCAGGACCTGAATGGGCGCAGAGGATCGTACTGCTCGTTGCAGCGGCTGCCGCACCTCCGTCTGGCTGCATGCACGGAGTGATATGAGACAGAAGTTGGCCTCTGGCGCACGGCTCACCGATCCCTGCGTGCGAGGCGACAGTAGCCAGGAGGCGGGGAATTCCTCCACGACCACCGCCTGGAGGATCGATCTTCGAGGATCTTTGCAGGCGTTAGAAATCGATATAGGTTGGCCCTCCGCCCCCGGGGCCCGAGCGTGTTCAAATCCACTGCCTGCCGAGGTCCACGGAACCCTCGCCTCGGAGTAGCGGCCTGCGCGCTTGGCCTTGGCCACCTGGCAGGACGAGCACCAGAGGCCACTTCCAGCGAAGGGGGCCACTCCTGCGGTGAAGCGGGCTCGTCCCACCCGTGCCGCCGATGCCACCGTATATCCGCACCAGATACAGAAAAGCACTGCATGATTCGCGTCGTGACGACCTGTGCGTTGGTTCAAGACACCGCATGGATCGTTCAACCTTGAACGACCGCGGCTTGCGAATCGTCCAGGTCGCCTGATATCGCCCCATTCCCAACCACTGGCGGCGTTCAGTGTTTGAACGCCCGCGCTGGTGTCGTCGCCGCGTCGACGCGGGCTGAACCTATTGTATGTATTGATGCGCTGGCACTATTTGCCACGGGGTCCTCCTCCTCGCCGCGGGGTGCACGTCCAGGTGTCGGAAGCAGCGCGGCCAGCCGGCTAAGAGGATGGGGAGGGCGACAAGGAAGAGAAAGGAACGGCGAGAGGGAGGGATCTCATTCAGAAGCAGACGCTCTGCCCTCGGCCTCCACCCCTCAAGCCCCCTCCCAGGACGGCCTGCGCCGTGACGATCACCTCTCCCCGCGCGAACTGGTGGTCCTCCCCGGGCCGGGCCGGGCCGACGGTGGGCGGCGGCCTCGAGGGCACTCCCTGGGGCAAAAGATCTGTGACGCGCCGCGCCCGCCGTCCGTCGTCCCGCCACAGGGGCAAGGGTACGGGGACGGGAGGTGGCACAGGGGAAGGAGAGGGGGACGGGGGGGGGGAATGGGGAGGGATAAAGCAAGAGGCAAGAGCGGCGCCACGCCCGCCGCCCCGGCCTTTGCCTCGAGGATAGGGCGGGGAGGGAGCTTCCGAGGGCTCAGGGCGGAAAAAAAAATACCAACACTGTTTCTCGTCCTGCAGAGCCCTCGTCTCCACGGCTGAATTCTCCTCGAGACGCTGGTCGGAATGCGCCCTGGAAAGGGTCCGGGGAGTAGCGGGGGAAGCAAAAAGGAGGAGCATGCAGCATGGATGGGGCAATGCGTAGCGAAATCTGTACATGTTGTTCTCCATCGGGCGCTCCCGCACCGGTTCGCTTTGGGTTGTCTAGGGAACTTTATTTGGATTGCATCCAACTCGAAACGGGTCACAACAGCTCGGCTCGCAGCTATGAGTGAAGGGACCCCAATGTTAAGAACCCAGCAGCCCTTCAGGGACTAGAAGGGGACGGAGATCACCGAGCTTCACGGGAGCGCCCGGGCGTGCTCTTTGGAGTGCGTTGAAGAGTGGTTCCTGAACGCTGCGCGTGTTGCGCAAACACGCCCCTTCGGGGAGAACTATTCGACACCAGCAACATACTAAACAACGAAGGGGAAGGATAAATCGGATGCTGGAAATGAGGAAGGGTGAGGGATTGGCTTAAGGATGACGAAGAGGAGGAGGAGGAGGAGGAGGAGGAGGAGGAGGAGGAGGAGGAGGAGGAGGGAGGAGGAGGAGGAGGAGGAGGAGGACAGACAGACGCCTCTGGGGGCCAAAGAGTGACATCCACACTCGCGAATTGCCCTAGGGCCGACACAACTGCCGCGAATTTCGGGCCTCCAGCCCGCCCACAACTCACAGAGCTTATAAGCCCCCGAGTTTCACCAGACTCAGCTTTCAAAACCCCAGGAGACGGGCCGCGGACCCCGCTAAGCTATACCCGAAACCAGCATCTCGGAAAACTCTGACAGTGTCACTATCCCTACGAGGCCGCTTACGCTGCGAGGGGAGATCGACCGACAACCGACGGCGACGAGGCTCGGACGACGAAGGAGGAGGAGGAGGAGGAGAAAAGGCAGCCTCGGCGGCAACAAGCACGGGGGCCTCAAGTGCGGAAACCCTCGGACACAATGAAGCCGCCGACGGCGGAGAAGTATCCCATGAAACACGTTGCTCACGTACTTGCTGCTGCTGCACCCCATCGTCCGAAGACGTCGCAATAGTCTGACGCTTAGTATCATTCAATTCGTCCCGCACACCATGAACTTTAACACCATCTCGTCTATCCACAGGAAGTACAGTCATCCGCTGAGGGTCATTCAACCCATTCACACCATGTACTTTCACTCCATCTCGTCCCCACTCAGGAAGGTCTGGAGTACACGTGCGAGGTGATTCATAAGGGGCAACTCCCACCTTCTTGACCGCCCCTAATTGCTCCAAGCAGTCGGTCAACGCTTTGAGCGAGGGCTCGTTCACGGGCAGGATCTTCACCTTGTCCGCCTCGTGTGCATTCTGCACTTTCACGAACGGGAAGCGGGCGACGACGGTCGGCAGGTCCATCTGCTGCACCTCTTGGTGCCACTTCTGGAGCTCCTGATGGTTCTCGGCGCCGACCGCAAGCCCCGCCTCGAGACAGCCCTCGACGAGCCCGACGAGCGCGGCGCACGAAATCGCGCCCTTGCTGTCCACCTCCTCGGTCTTGCTCCTGGCGCGCAGATCCTGCGCCGTCTCTACCCACCCGCGCACTCCGCCGCGCGCCTTCTGTACTGGCACTGCGTTTGCGGGCGTGATGAGTGTGGCGAGCGTGATCGCCTCCTGCTGCCTCTGGCGCATGGTGACGTTCATCGGCAGCTTCATCAGGACTGGCACCGCGCGCTGAATATCGTCCCATTTCATGCGCTCGAGTCCGTCGATCTCTCCCTTAATCACATTATTGTTGGACTTCTGGCGCTGGGTGGGGCGCTGGCTGCGCGGCTCGTCGCCTGCGGCTTAGCCGCGACGCACTGATCCTACAGCGCCTCCGCTCGGCACCGACGAACTCGCTGCAGGGGCCGCTGAGAACATGCCACGCGAACTCTGGCACAGGCAACGGTAAATGTGTGGCCAAATGCTTCTGCATTAGCTCGAGATGCTCAAAGGGCTCATGACAGACAGGACACGCACGTACTTCAGGATCAGCAGTGGGAAGATCATACTGCGACGAGCCCATTCGACACCTCCCATACCTGTGCGCATTCACCAAGTGACGGACGGTAGTCTCGCGACAGCGAAATGTAGAAGAGCAAGAGACACACTGATTAGTCACGGTGAGCTTCGATATCGTATTCTGTAAGCCATGTTGGCCTCCAGAGGCCTGACGCTGGCGCACCAATACAGCCCTACGCGCGAGGAGTCGCCTATCACACACCAACCCATCAACCGTAAGACGACAACATACAAAGTCCCCAGCTGCCAACTCACCAGGTTCCCGGGGTGCAGGTCCAGAGCTACCATCCCGCAAAAGCCACTCTTGACGATACTGCTGCAAATCTAATCTCTGAAAGGCCTCGAAGGCCTCGGACTGGCTCCTGAAAACATTGAGGTAGTCCCCCTCCGTAGCCTCCACCGCCGCCTCCCCCTCCTCAGTACATCTCAAATACTCCAGATCCTGGAAGAATTGGCGACCCCACGGATTAGTCCGAGACGTATCAGCAGAAGATGGTGCACTCACATGGAACCGAGCATAGGGCGACTCCACAGGCTTCTCGAGGTCCAGGGTGCCAAACACAGCAGTCAGCTGCTGTATATGATAGCTGGGTGAGCGCGCGATCTTTTGCCACTCCTTCAGTCTCTGCACACGGAGTTCAAGACCTATGGGAACAATCCCAGCTCGTCGCCACAGCCGGACAGCGGGCGGGGTACGAATGGCGACGGACTCGCTCCAATCCTCGGCCTGCGTCCGCACCGACACAGCCACTCCCCCGATCAAGACTCTCAGGTACCTCAAGCACGCAGAGTCGAGACGAGCTTCCTGTGAGGGAGAGAACACACACGCAGTAAGGCCCGAGACAACGGCACCGATAACGTTACTCTTAGAAAACATTTTTTTTGCACTCCACGACGTACACTGAGTCCAGAACCGTCTCATCTGGGCCCATCCTCGGGCCACGGCCGCACACCTCGCAGCAATCTCTGGCGCCCAGGACCCCGTCGGCGTAAACGACGTCCCTAAGAACGGAACGATGGGCAAGACAATCCCCGAAAGCTCATTGGTACTCTGGCCCTGGAAGACAGCCCTCAAGAAACGATGCGCTCCATGTCCGACGAAGTGAGGAAGAACCTGCATTTGTTCCATCCGACTGAAAGATGCCGTGCTCGTTGAGTTTACGATTCAACAGCTGGTCAGAGCAGCCGATGATCTGCCTTGCAGAAGCGATGTCTGTGACCACGTGGGTCTTATTCACATCATCAGCAAACACTCGCAACGATAAGTCACATCTATGTCCAGAAATAGAACAGGTACCCATGAGCTGAGACAGATGTACATCATGATGCTCCTGCTGCCACTGAGAAATGGGAGGAGCAAAAGCCTCCTGGAACACTGCGGCCGCATTTGCATCCCCCAGGTAATTCCCCTCCGAATTCTGGGAGACCCTAGACCCCCCCTCAGCACACACTCGAAAGCAAGCATTTCGATGTCGTTGTTGCAGGATCGCAGCGTCAGCAGGGGCATAAAGTCGAACGACGGCCGAGTCGAGAGTAGTGTGACGCACAGAGCCGAAAGCATTGCGCATGTCGTGCTTGGTGCCAATGGTGGATATACGTGCCTTCTGCGTCCGCCAGGCGAGTGCATCAGTAGTCCTAACAGCCCCAGTTCTCGAACGACGCGGAAAATATCCAATCATAATGTGGGATCTGGCGGGCCTTACGTTCCGCTGTTTTCACGCACATGTTTCCAAAAACGCACAACCCATGCAACAATCTCGTGCCGTATGTCCTCACTTTTCCATTTTCTTTAGGTAGTTGGTATGTGCACGACATATTCCACTGTGCCACTAGACGCCCCTGTTGCTTAACTTTAGCAAGGACGCCTGTAACCCATCTCCCAAGAAGTTCACGAACTCTAGGTGCCAACCCTAAACTCGAGTATGCGTCGCTGTCGGGATGCCCCAGACGCATACGAGCCTTGGTCGGAACGCTCAGTGGAGCGCCTGAAGGATCTACGGAAAGGGAGAGGTTAAGCTCGACCGCCCACACGCCACGCCTCAGGCTGGCTACGCCACAGGCTACCTGCGTAGCAGGAAATAAAAACCCGAAAGCCGGAACCCAAACACAGCGAGCCTGCAGGATCCCCCAGGAACCTAGGAAAACTTAGGAAAACGCTGCCAGCCTGGCAGCGTTTTCCTAAGAGAGCCCTGGCTGTGCCAGGGGCTCTCCAGGCGCTCCCAGCGCGCCTGGGCGCGCTCCCAGGCGCTCCCCAGGCGCTCCCACGCGTCCCAGAGGCTCCCCAAGCGCTCCCAGGGGGTCCCCAGCGCGGGAACCTCGCGCGCGCGCGCGAGCCGCGGAGCGTCCGGCGAACTGGTCCCCGTTGTCGTGGCGCAACATGATTCCCTCTGAGATTGAAGCATATGCGTAATTTTACCCCAATCGCGATATGCGCTCGCCAACGCGCCTGCGCACCGAAAAAGAGCGCGCAGGCGCGGTTCTGGCGTCGCCAACGTAATTCAGCGATAAGGAATACACTCGACGGCCGGACGGCCGGCTGACGCACGCGACGCGCTGCCTGGTGCGTCGCATCGAGGGGGCGCCAGGCCCGCCCCCTCGAGCTCCCCCTCCCACCATCCGAGACAAATCGCTGTGCGTGCGCCACCGCGCAGAGT